AAACCTAGATCAAGGTTTGATCTAGTTCAGTGCCAGGGTTATTGTTTGGGTCAGGGTTAAGGTCAAAATGTCAGGGTTAAAGGTCAGCATTAAAAAAAAAATTGTTATCAGTGTCAGTTAGTGTCAATGTCAGTGTGTTTTTAGGTAAAAAAAAAAAAAAAAGACAAAAACAATATACGCACTATTGTTTCTGGGCTGTACTACGGGTACAAACAACAAATAACATACACATATATGGTATCGCTGCAATCGTCAAGAGCTGGAGAATCTATTTTGGGTTGTTCTTTGGTGGTAGGTTATGGTAGTAACAAGAAACACACAGCTAAAAAAAAAAAATTTTTTTTTTTTTTTTTTACTATTTTGGGCCAGTTTTCCTTTGATAATAAAAAAAAAAAATCAGGAGATATCCATTATCATTTACCACCAAATGAAAGCCCAATTTGTCCTGAAAAAACCACGGTATAATTCACCTGGATGTACAAAGTAGTTGTGATGATATGTACTGTTTTACTAACACATGTCAACGTTGCAAAATTCTGCTTAGGCATTTAGATTTGTTTTACCCTTAGGCGTGAAGGGGTTAAAGGATAAGTTCACCTTTTACAAAAAATATAATAAATGCACACCTCTTTGCATTTATTATTTTTTGACATGGCAGTCTGTAAGGTATTGCACCTGTAATAGGAATGCGGGGTGCAATAACTAAAAGCAAGTCATATACACACACACACACACACACACACACACACACACACACACACAATAGACAGGTAGTCACACACAGGTACTTTTAACCAGCTTTACACCATTACATATTCTAGGCATGTGAAAGACCCTGTACCAAATGAACATCTGCCCTGCAACATCATAGCATTGACCCGGCACTCCAAGAAATAACAGAATCCAACTGCAATATTCTTGCACTGTCAAAACCTCCACTTTTATTATCACATGACACACAGGAGGATATATCTTATAGTCATCACAATCTGCATAATGCCACACACCAATAATAATGTGAGCATTACAGCATGAAATAGACACATTATTTGACAGCGTCACAGCAAAGATTTAATACATACCAAAGCTATGTGAAGGAACAGATCCTATCGGAACCATACTGCACAGGGGGTCATGGGGAAGCCGTAAACGTGACCAATCAATGAGCCCATATAGCCTTGGCAAGAGTTCCAGCGTCAGAGCGTCCTCTTCTGCTAGGAGGTTCCCAATCGATCCCGTTTAAACTCACGGCTTTTAAACCATTTTCCTGGCAGCTTATCTGAAGTGGGCGGGTGCCACACCCACTCTAGGAGGAGCTAGCAGAAAGGTTCTGTGAGGATAACAGAGTCACGCCCAGCCACCATATTGAATCAACATCGTTATCTAAAAAGTCACACTTTTGCTTCAGATCAGCTTCTTATCTACCCTGAACTTCTCATCTACCCTAAAACTTAAAGATTTCTAACTTCTTCTTATCTTCTAATGTGACATTACTAGATGTCATAAACACATTCAACCCCACAAACAAGTTATTATCTTGCTATGAGCAGTCTAATGTATTGTGATTTGATGGTGACTCTGTTGCTTTAGGCTAGAGAAATGACATCAGTCACTTCTCATACTCCTGGCATCTGGGCAACGATGCTTTACTGTAAAAATTACCCAAGTAAACAAAGGGTCCAAGGCCTTCACCTTTCATAGGCATTACAGCACCCATGATCAGCAGAACACCGGTGCAAAGCATGGATCCAGCAGATATTCACTACAGCACTACAGCTGTCTGCCCATACCTCGTTTGGACAGGCAGTTACTGAATAGCAGAAAGAATTATTGGACTACAAAAGCGCCCACCAGCACCATTGAAGTTCATTGAGAAATACAAGCTGTCAGCTGCAATGTACTTGTAGGCATTCATTCACAGGAAACTGTGGATGAAATACAGAGCTGTGTGGGCGGAGCCCCGCATGGTCCCACCGTTTTTAAATTGTGACAGTGGATGTGGGGAAAGGAGGATCAACTGCCCGTTTTCACAGTGGGGGGAATTGGGCAGAGAGGAAGCAGGAACTGGAACATGTTCAACCCTAAATATGGGTGGAACGTGTAACATGTTCCAAAGGTGAACTTATCCTTTATTAAATATTCATTTAAGGCTTAAAGTGATTCTAAAGGTTATCATTTAAAAAAAAAAAACATGTTATAATTGCCTGCTCTGTGCAATGGTTTTGCACAGAGCAGCTCCAATCTTCTTTTTTTTTGGGTCCCCTGCTGGTGGTCCTGGCTCCCCCCCCCCCAGCCAAGTGCTCCTCTTGCTGTGAGTGCAACTGAGCAGGCTCGCTCCTGAGCTGCACTCCTGTGAATGGACATTGTCTTTCCTCATTGGCTCACTGGCTGTGATAGCAATGGGAGCCATTGGCTCTTGCTGTTGCCAGTGTGAGCCAATGAGGAGAGAGAGACCCAGGAAAGCCGTGGCTTTCTTGCACATCACTGGATGGAGATTTGGCTCAGGTAAATAAAAAAGGGGGGCTGAGGGGGGAGCTGCACCCAGAAGGTTTTTTTCCTTCTGCCTTTAGAACCACTTACGTTTACCTTTTTTTTTTTTTTTTTTTTTTTTTTTTTTTTAAACAATCACCAAGTACCATACTTACATTGAATGAAAAGTGTCCTTTTGAAGAGTTCTTCGAACACAGCAGCTATTAGCACAAAAGGGACACTTTTCATTCACTGCAAGTACCGTCCATGGTGCTAATTATTGAAAAAATGTTTAACTAAACTTAAGCTTTAAAGAGTAACTCCACTTTTGTTGATTCCCCTCTGGGTGATCTATATACATTGAAATTGGATTCTAACAAATTTTGTTAGAGTCCTACCTGTTGTTATCCTGAAGAAATAGCTGTTTGTTTGCCTGTGTCTATGTGCAAAATGAATGTGAATGGGAATGACTCTATAATTATGAATCAGCTGCTGCTGGGCTCTAATGAGGAAAGTGGCAAGGTCTGCATTCCTTTTAGATGTGATTTCCCTTTGGGAGTATATCACCAAAAATTACATTTTTGTTGCAGGGGATGCTCAGAGTCTGACTTGTAGGTTAGTGCAGACTTTTGGGAAAATCATTTGGCCAATCACACAAGCAGGAAACATTTCTGAGGGGGTGTTCTGTACACCATCTGTGTACAGAACACCTCCTGGTTGCTATATCACATTGACTTTTACAGAAAATTACAGCACTGCAGATTAAAATGGAAAAGATAATTTTTTAATACCCTTACAGGGGTGTGGAAATTTTTGAAAAAACTACTTGTCCAGGGGACTAAATCAGTGTCCCAATCTACTTGTCCCGCATGACAATCTACTTGTCCTGATTTAAAAAAATAAAATCATGCAACACTGTACCCATATGAATTTTTTTGCAATTTTTTCCAGAGGACACAGCAGGCACCAGAGCGTGGTGCTGCACGCTCCCAAGGAGAGTGCACAGTCCAAAATGGCGGGTGCCGTTTATGGACGGCAACCCGCCCCTGCACTGCCACCATCCGGCCGTTTATATACATGGGCGGACGGGAAATGGTTAAACAAAAAGACATTACTGAATAGTGCAATCATTCTGCAAATCATAGCAAAAATTAATTTGGCCTGTTCACAAGTTTGCATATCCTTAGTTCCTAAAGTAGAATTGAATGCAAAGCCTTTTTTCATTTTTGATTAGAGTAAGAGAAGGGTATAACCCCTGTCAGGTTTTTTGCCATCTGTGTCCCACTATGGGGATTTGTCTTCACTTCCTGTCCTACAGCAAAAGCAGGAAGTGAGAGGAAATCCCTCCAATCATTGTATGTTGCTGGTCACAGGAACTAGTGTCCTCATTGCAAAATTTCCCCTTTTTATTCTTGTTCTGGTGTCAATCCAAAATTTAGCATTTTCCTTTACTTTCACTTTCATGATAACTGTAAAAATGACAAATAGAGAGAGGGTGAATATTCCTAAAGTGGGCACAGACATCAGTAAGAGCCTGACAGGTGCTCTAATCCCTCTCCACTCAATCCAAAACTGGTTGTGTTGCTTGAACTATATGTTTGGGATCTCTCCAAAGTAAATTAATGATGTTGCGGTCAGACTGTGATCCCTATTCCAGAACCTTCACTTTCTTTTTGCTGCTGCCACGCTTATGTTTCAGATAATTTAAATGTTGGAAAGTCCAAGTTCACCCCATGGTCAGCTCTCATGATGAAGAATATAAATGTTCCCCTAATATTTTTATAAAATATGCTCTGTTCATTTTGCTTTCAATTCTAAATACTCTGTGCTGCGGTACATCCCCAAAACAGCAAAGATGCACCTTTATGCTACATGGTAGGAATGGTGTTCTTCTCTTTATGGCCCTTGTTGAATCATCTTCAAGCATAGTGTTTTTGGTTGTGGCCATTAAGCCCACCATAGACTATGTGATTTTCTTTCCTGCAACCACGGATTGCAGGAAAGAAAATTGCTTGATTTCCCCATCAACACCGTCAGTGTTGATGGGGGAATCCTTCCCATGGAGCTATTGTTCCGGTGGAGGGGACAATAGCAGGAGATCACAGTGATTATTGTTAGCAGCTGTAGCTGCTGGCAATAATCGCATGAAAAATCCAACAGGCTGGTTGTACTCAAGTCGTTCAACAATTGAATTGGGTACAATGAGCCTGCCCATAGATAGTTGGAATCTCAGCTAATCTCGGTTGAACCAGAATCTGAATTTGAATCATGTATGGCCGGCTTAAGGTTCCACTTTGATCTTTTTCAGAAGTTTTGAGACTTCTCTAGGTGCGGTTTGGCATATTGTAAGCGGGCTACTTTGTGGTGTTTTTGGAGAAGAAATATATACAACCTATATTTATTAACTTATGAGCACAGCTGTATTTGTTTATAATTGTTTATGGCAAATGATTGGGCTGTCTTTCTTCTGAGTGGCTCAACTGATATATGTATGGCTACCCAAAAGCGATGTTTCTCTTTCTCCATATCTCAGGACAGCTAAGAGCATGGAACACAGGAATATATGACAGTCCAAGAAGAACTTATGATATGACTCAAAAACAGGTGCGGGACATCTGGGAGGAGCTTGGTGTTGGACACAATGGATACCTCAATCAACAGGAACTTGCCACTGTGTGTCAGAATATAGGACTTGAAGATCTTAACAAAGAGGTATGTGATAAATAAATAGAAGTGTCAAAAAATACACCCTTGTCTTTGATTGGGACTGCAATTTTTTACAATTCCCACTTAGGAGGTAGGGAATGGATCTCCAGTAATACCCCTATTGGATTGGTTAGTAGCATCATTTGTTCTCACCCTTTTCTTGTGAACAGCAGGATTTTGATTAGCTGTTGCCTAAAGTGATTCCTTGTCTTTGTTCTAGATCAGTGGTCTCCATACTGTGGCCCTTTGCTGGCATTATTGCCCCCACCATCAGTGGGGCATAGTTCCCGCCACTGATACTAACAATGGAGCAGTATTGACACCAATAATGGGGCGCTATTCCTCCCCTGACCCCAACGATGGGCGCTATTCCTCCCCCTGACCCCAACGATGGGCGCTATTCCTCCCCCTGACCCCAACGATGGGGCGCTATTCCTCCCCCTGACCCCAACGATGGGGCGCTATTCCTCCCCCTGACCCCAACGATGGGGGGCGCTATTCCTCCCCCTGACCCCAACGATGGGGCGCTATTCCTCCCCCTGACCCCAACGATGGGGCGCTATTCCTCCCCCTGACCCCAACGATGGGGCGCTATTCCTCCCCCTGACACCAACGATGGGGCGCTATTCCTCCCACTGATACCAGTGATGGGGCACTCTATCTCCCGTTAATACCAATTATGAGGCATTGTGTACTCCCACTGATGCCAGGACATTTTCTTCTCCCTCAGGCCACAGTCCAGCCCCCCTAAAGTCTGAAGGACAATAAACTGGCCCTTCATTTATAACATTTGGTGACCTTCTATTATGAAATAATAAAAGTATTATCTATAAATTGGACCCGGGGCCTGTTGTAGATCATGTGGGTCACAAAAGATAGAATAGTATAAAAGATAATAGAATATGTTGATACGAAATCTGGGCCTACGGCCCAACTCTGGGCGCAATAAACTCCCCAGCATGGCTGGTTTTATACTACAGCTGTCAAATCTGTACTTTTCTTATGGGGGTGAGTAAGCACAGGAGACGTGACTGTAACTCTAGGGTCCTGCAGCGCTTACTGAGCTGGCTGGGAGGATGGATGGGGGGTTCTTTTCTGTCGATGTACAACTGCTGTAATACTGGTACGTTTTTATGCCTTGGATTGGTCACCAGGATGAATGGAGAGGGAGAACAGTGAGGACACTTGAGATGGGTTTTATTCTTCCCCATTCTAAAGCTCAAAAAGTTTTTTGCTTTTAAATACACTTTTGATTTTTTCCATTTAATACGAACATTTAAAATATTTTTGAGTTGCAGGATTTGTGTGTATGCATGCGATTCCACTCAATCCATTAGCTGATAGTCTTTTATGTTTATAATGTAACTAGTAGTAGTTAACTACATTTAATTAAACTTGCCTGTAATGTTAAAGACATTTTGGCACTTGTTCAAGAAGTTTCCCCAATTTTAATGAGTGACAAGGACATAAACCAGCATTTATAGCCACATGGGTACCATGGTTACCTTAATCAAGTCACCATGGCATCATGCAATGTGTCATGAAAAATATATCAAACTGCAACAACCATCCTTCAGCAGGGGTTGAGGGGCCCCAGAATACATAGCCATAACAATGCCACCACTACTCTGCAAATCAGAAGGGTATGCTCACTCTGAGCCACGAGAACTGTTCTGTCTTTCAGCATCTGGCGGCCCAGCTGGCCTGATTTTGCACCATCCAGTGAGAAACCAGGTCAGACTTCGCTCCTCATACAGTTCTTCTGGCCACAGAGTATTGTGAGATCTTCTCCATAGGCTCATGATAACCTGTTTTACTCTCTCCTGTTTGTGGAGTGCATTTTCATATTTTTTTAACTTAAAGTTTATAAAGTTTTCATGTGTATTTTGCTGCACCCAGGTTGTTTGCACCCTGCCTTCTGCTTTTTTATTCTGTTCAATGCACAGATCATCCCTGTTATGAAAAGTGCACCATGGCCCGCACGTCTAAGTACCTTTTTAGAATTTGAACCTTTATGGATTTAACCCTACATTCAAAGGAAACCTTGAAGTGCAAGGTGAAATTGTTCTCATTTGTTTGGGCTTTTTTTTTTCTCCTTTTTTTTTATAATATTGTTTTAATTTTTTTATAATTTTGTTTTTATTGAGTTCTTGAAGTACATACAACAGACAAGAGGTTGCATAGCATTGTGAGACAACAGTAATATAAATCACAAACAAAGAAAGTGGGAAATAGACTCATTGATGAAAATGCACATACATACAATGTCATAGGATAACAGTGGGAAATCAGACATCTGAGAGGACATATTGAAAATAGGTCCCATGGTTCCCAGACCGCTTCGAAAAGGGGAACAAGGTTGGCATGTATGGCAGTTAAATATTCCATTCTTCTAATCTCACCAATAAGTTTTATCAGTTCCGAGGGAGGTGTAGTGGCTAAGCAATGAATGGGTACGGGTCTCCCGGGCGCTGTAAAGACATGAGAAGAAAGTTTCTTGGCAAGTTTGGAGAGGCCTGTAAAAGGTAAGCCTAATAAAAAGTGTATGGGATCAAAGGGGATATGAACCCGCAAAATAAGCCGTAAAAGGCTTAGGACCTCTCTCCAGAAAAGCGCAATGTGTTGGCAAAGCCAGAAAATGTGAAAAAGGGTGCCAATTTCCTTGCCACATCGCGCAGCAGACAGGAGAAACATTCAGGTTGCGAGCATGGAGAACCTCAGGGGTCCTGTACCAAAACATCAAAACTTTATAAGTATTTTTTCTTAATTACCACAAATGTAGAAGATCTGGAGGCAGCCTCCCAGATCCTGCTCCAGAGATCTAGGGGGATATCCTGTTGAAGGATTCGGGGCCATTTCCGCATATAGAGATGTGTGGCTGCAGATAGGGGATAGGTGTCTTGTTATAGCTTATAAATAGAGGAAATTAGGCGCCGTTGGCAAGGACCCTGAATGCAAATGCGTTCAAAAGGAGTAGGCTTCTCTAGAGTCAGGGAGGGAATCTTGGAAGAGAAAAAAATGTTGTATCTGCAGGTAAATGTTTGAGCCTTTAATACCATCTGTCACCCACCTAAATTCTTTTTTATTTATTTTTTTTTTATGTACGTTTTTACCTTGCCAATTTGACTGCAATTCACATCTTCAGTTACATAACACAAACCATGTTTCTTGGAATATTCCAATAACAGGATAACTACACAAACTCTTGTTGTTATCCTGGGCAATCAGCATCTGCCTTTACAAATTGCTTGACACCATAGTGATTGGTTAAAGGGGATATAAATGCAGATGTATGTTCCTGAAATGCATTCAATTTACTACTAAAGCTTCACAGAAAACTGACAAATATCTTCAGCATTATTCCTAAAAAGCACAAAAAACTCCTTTTTCCCTATCAATGGACTTTCTGAATGCATGAGAAAGAAAGTCCTGTTTGGGGAACTCCTTAATAGACACATTCTTCCTTTTTTATATCTAATAGGGTAAAAAATCCTAAAAATATTTGATAGCCAATGAAGAGGCAATTTATTAAGAAAATAGGTCTCAAGCAATCTGCTGGGCTTGCATAGTTTAATATTACTAATTGTGCTTCAGAGATGATGCATTATGTTTGTTTTTTTTTAATTAGGAACTTGAAGACCTATTCAACAAGCTAGATAGAGATGGAGATGGCAGAGTAAGCTTTCAAGAGTTTCAAGTGGGCTTGTTTAGCCATGCACCTATTGCTTCTACACCACTAAAGAATCAACGTCCATGTGCACTTTACCAGGTAGGTTCATAAATCTCTTAATTGGTTATTAACACTTTGCATTTGGGGCAAATTTTTTTTATTTTTCAAATACATTAAAATCAGCATTTTTTTTTTTTTTGCTTTGAACCCCCAAATAAGGATATATTTTTTGAAAGTGAAGGACCTGTAAAATAAAAAGGTGGCAGTTGCAAATTTTTATATTGCACGATATTTGTGCTGCTGTTTTTCAAGCACATATTTTCTGGAGAAAAACCCAAGGCCTCATGCACACTGCTGCTCCTAAACTCCAAATTTTTGCAGCTTTCTGTGTTTTTTTGCCAAAGACCCTGAACTCAACTCCATAAAAGCTTGTGAGTCACACATAGGCTTTAACCAGAATTTAGAAGGAGCAGAGTCTAGAGGCAGTAAAACGCCCCTCTCCTGAATGCAGAAGAATGGTATTACAGAGAGGAGTTTTTTGACAGAAAAACAGCGGGCACATTTAGTGCTTGGGTTTTTTTTTTCTTTTTTTCATTTCAATGGCCATAATAAATTCTGGCCAATTAAATTAATAAGCACGCAAGCTCTTGACGCTGATAAACGTGGTACACACTTTTTTTTTCCAGAATCAACGCCCAGAGGATTTTTTTTATTGTTTAATGTGCTTGTACTCCATTTGCATGCCCGTGAAATGGTTAAAAACCTTTGTTACCAAAAATGTTTGCAGATAACTCATTAAAAGCCTTTACAGGTTATCAGTTAAGAGTTAAACTTGAATTATGGCCCTAAAATGTTTGTGGTCACGCTGACATCCATGGCATTATCTCATGGTTTTGCATTCACATGTATGGGCAGGAGGGCAAGGGGTGGGGGGTTTTCATTTTTTTTTTTTTTTTTTTTACTATTTTTTTTTTTTTCTCCAGAAGAAGCCCCCTATTTAATTTTTTATTATTACACGAGTTTATATAGCGCCAAAGGGTTTTGCTCAGCAGAAATACATGGCAAGCCAAAGACCCGTATGTGATAACATGAGCTTACAATGATGTTTTAATTTACGGTGATATCAGGGGTCTGTTAAACCCCAAATATTTCCCATGCCCTCCACTGCAGCTAATCCAGCAGTGGGATGGGCATTTAAAAAAAAAATATGTAAAAATAAATTATAAAAATAAATTCATGCCTGTAGCCAAGAGCTTGTTGTTAACTAATTGAGGTTCAGGATGCCTAAGGACAGCAAGTAGCCATAAACATTTACATTTCTAGTTTTGGACAGAGTGGGGAAAGATATTAAATACCTTTGATATTTTTACTGCTTTCAGGGGCTATGTTAGAGAGATTTACCTTTTACCTCCTGTCCCGCTGACAAGGTTTCACTAAACAGGAAGTCCGGGAAAATCTACAACAGGGACACCGATAGTAATATAGATCTGACAGGAGTTTCCCTACTCTACTAAAGAAAAGCACTTTAATTTGGTTTGTGTTTTTATCGTTGGACAGTTACCCTCTCTTCCTATCTGGTAAAATGTCAGCAGCACAGGAAATTAGGGGTAAACTCTTTAATGGCTTATACAGGTGAAACTCGAAAAATTTGAATATTGTGCAAAAGTTCATTTATGAACCAGACTGAAAGACCATTTAAAGGCTCAGGAATCCTTTGCAGGTGTAATGGCTTAATTAGCTGATTAGAGTGGGACACTTTGAGCCTAGAATATTGCACCTTTTCACAATATTCTAATTTTCTGAGATTGTGGATTTGGGGTTTTCATGAGCTGTAAGCCATAATCATCACAATTATGACAAATCACGGCTTGAACTATCTTGCTTTGCATGTAATGAGTCTATCTCATATATTTGTTTCACCTTTTAAGTTGCATTACTGAAATAAATGAACTTTTGCACGATATTCTAATTTTTCGAGTTTTACCTGTATACAGGCACAGGTACATCGCTCCCTGTTTCCGGGTGTCACTCACCTACTTCCCTGTGATTTGACACAGCAGGAGTTGGTCAGCAGCTCCTGGCCAATGATTTCTGGCCAGGACTTGCTGATCAACTGTGTTGAACCACAGCCCAGAGCTCTATACAGAAGGAACGATCGCTTTACAAAGCAGGGAAAATAAACTAATCAATCTGTAGTAAAAAGCCGCACACTTTACACACATTACACATTGGTATGCACACAATTAACCCCTTGATTGCCCCTAGATATTAAACCCTTTCCAGCCAGTGTCTTTAGTACAGTGACAATGTGTATTATTTGCAATTATCACTGTATTAGTTTCATTGGAGATGTCAGTGGCAGTTAGTCCCCACAAAGTGTCAGTGTCAGATTGCACTATCACAGTCCCACTATAAGTCGCTAATCACCGCAATAACCTATATTAAAAAAATAAATAAAAATTCCTATATATATCCCATAGTTTTGTAGACACTATAAATTTCATGCAAACCAATCAATCTACACTTATTGTGATTTTTTGTTTTTATCAAACTCCTGTAGCAGAATACATTTAGGCTTAAATGGAAAAAAACACATTTCTTCATCAATTTATTTATTTATTGAAGATGTTTTATAGCAGAAAGTAAAAAAATATTTTTTTTTCAAATTTTTGGTCTTTTTTTGTTTAGATAATAAAGAATTAAAAAAAAAACATTGGTGATCAAATACCACCATAAAAAGCTCTATTTGTATGAAAACAAAATTAAATATATTCCATTTGGCTACAGTGTTGTATGACTGCGCAATTGCCAGTTAAAATAGCCCAGTGTCAAATAACAAAAAATGGCCTGGTCATGGAAAGGGTAAAATCTTCCAGAGCTGAAGTGGTTAATGGAGCTCCAGAAAGCAGTAAACACCTGACAGCGATTCTAACCCTTCCCCAGTCTAAAATTAAGAAAACTGTTTTTGATAGACATACACTTTTTACGTGCAAATCTACTTATATTTAGGATAATTTATTATAAAGTGTAGAAACACAATTATTGTGTGGTAGGATGAACTGTAGAGACCTGATTCTGTACCTTGCAGTGTTATTCTCAGCAGGCCATAGATGCTCTTTATTGCCTGAGTGCAAGCAGTTTTAAAACATGCCTGTCCATGGAGATTTCCTGATCATTCACATTCTACTAAAAGCACTCTTTAAGAGTTTTTACCTGCTTCAGACATTTAGGTTAATTGATTGTTTTCCATCTGCAGCCAGAAGACAGCCATAAAACACCATCCTTGCTGTCGGGATTTGGAGGCTTCCATGTTTTCTCAAGCATTGATGATGGGACTGGCTTTGGAAACCCGGAGCAGATCATGATCATTTGGGAAGAAGAGGGGATTGAGGATAGTAAAGAAGTATTTTTGGTATGGAACTGTTTTTTGCTTGATAAAAACTGTCCTACACTATTAGTACTGCTGAAGTGCCTTATCAAACTTGATTGTATCCAAACCACAATCTTTAAATCCAGAGCTTGTGATTTTACTATGCACCCCAGGTAGGTGTTTTAAAGAATACCATATGGCAGGCACTGGTTTGTAGACCATTAGAGAGTACATATTGCAGTTCTATCTGAAAGTGAAAAAGTTAATCATATTATACACTCTTAATATGCCAAATTATTATTTGTCTAGTTATCTGTATATATTAGTTGATCATTGTGCAATATATGTAATTTCCACAGGATCAGGCAGTGATCAAAATATACAGGATACCATTGACTAATGGTATCATAAGGGAGGAATTTTTTGTGTTTATAGTCTGTTGTTATGATACAGAACAAGAAGTTTCTATAGAATACAAGTGTGATATTTTCCCATTGGGCATGAAGGACACGTCCTTTCTCAGTCAGTTCATCCATTTTTATTACAGTGCTGAGAAATATCACTGCTTAACAGGTAGCAATATATGGTACTGTGTTTCCACAAAAGCATATGCACTAGTGTCTAGGTCTTAAATGATTGCATTTCTGGTTCTGGACTAGTAAAAGACATTTTAACCTCAAAAAACTCAAGGTTTCCACTCAAGCTCTTGTAAGTCCATCTGGGGACTCCTGCAATGGGTGCTGACCAAGCAGGAGTCTATCTACATTCCTCAGATACTGTGTATATACATTAGAGAAAGGTCCCAAACACTGCACACCTAGCGATGCCATTAGTAAGACAGTAAGACCGTTAAAATATATATCTCTGTTGTCTATTAAAAGAGTTATTTAAAAATTATACTCCCCTAGATGGATGCATCGGTCCAATGCTGCTTTTCTCACCACTTCTTCTAAGACTGAGAACTTGGTGATCAAAGATCACTGATCACTCAGTTCTCAGCCTCTGGTGAGCAGGGAGCTGGTGACTCAGTCACCTTCTCTCTCTGATCTGCCCCAGCCAGCTACTGGTCCGGTCGGGATCTTTCAGAGCCTGGACTGGCTGAGTGACGCCAGCCCGCTGTCAGCTAAAAATGGGTCACGGGAGTGTAGCACAAACTGCACTCCTGTGATCCATATGAGAAGTAGGGACAAAATAGCTTTTATCAATACAATCTTTTTTTAAAGGGCACATTCTGATGGTTCGAGACCTCAGGTTATACTGCCACCTACAGAGTTTGACACAGGGCACATAAAACAGTGCAAGCCACCTTACAGAGGCTATAATCCTTCCACCACCAACCCTGCTCCCTTGGTGTCAGGAGAATGGGCATTTCTTTCTTTTTATATTTCTTGACTTGGAGGATTTTTTTCCTAACATCTACTGGTAGATTCAGGCTGGATACTGGAAATTCTGGAAGTCTCTCCAGTTAGTGCAGAATTTCTCAATTCTTTATGAGTAACTGATAATCTCTCTGCTACAGTCCTGCAGTCAGCAGTGGTAACCCATCTGTGTTCCAGTTAGCAAGGGACTCTTCTTTCAGGTATGGTCAGTTTAGGAGTTGTGACAGTTCTCCTGTCCACATTTCTGAAGACTGTTCTTTTGGCTGCCTAGCAGGCATTTTGCCGTGTTAAAGATTTTTTCTCCTATTTTCTTAGAGGCTGTTACTGGCTGGGCTCATTGAGAAGGGGGATTAAGAGTGTTCTCTTCTGAACTGACCTTTCATGTACTTTTTTTGTTGTGCTAGCTGACCTTTTTTTTTTTAATTGGACACACTCCTCTTTATTCACTCCAAGTTGTACAGTGGAGCAGTGAGTACTTCTGTTTCTCTAAGGTGACCATTTGAATTTCTCCCCTCCGCCTTCTTTTTCTTTGGATTTGATGAAGCAGCACTGTTGGGCTGTGTTAGCTGGGCCTGCCCCTCTACCCTGATTGGCCACTGTACACTATTTGACTACTACAAATCCAGGGTTCTGGGCTTGTGATAGTGTTTTGCTTCTTGCCTCCCCACCGTTTGGGCCTTAGGTGTCCCTGCCCGTCAGCTTGTTTTAATTTTCTTTGTTGCTGATGTCTGCCTTGAATTTGGATTACTCTTTCGAATTGCCACCAGCCCTTACCTCAGATTGTGTACTGGATTACACTTGTCTAACTGCCTTGACCTTGTACGGTTTAGTGAATTATGCTTGCCCGCCACCTGCATGGATTTCGGGACAGTTCACTGAATTACATTTGCCCTCTGCTTTTCCTGGCCTTGGAAGCATAGATACTACCAATCTCTAGACTGTAGCATGGACATTCATCTGCCGCAACGCTAGCTACAGGTACCCTTTCCTGTTCCCGTTGTTCAGTCCCAGTTCTGTCTAGCCAAGAACTATAGAATTGTATACTTAGACTTGGGGCACCCAAATACTAGTAGGCCTGCTAACCTTAAGGGAACAAGGGCTACTATAGGAAAAAGAAACACTTGCCAGTTGGTATAGTTCCTGACCTAGGCATTGGGCTGAGCATCTCCCAGGACCTAATTTGCACTATGTACAAGGTTTAGCTTGACAGAGAGAAGTATTGTGCTTTCTGCATTTCTTACAGATCCCAGTTGGATCCACCTATGCTGGTGGTCATTCATGACTCCACTTGCTTTTATTAGCCTTGGAGGCTCATTCCTATTCCATTCTTTCAGCCGAGGGGTTTTCTTCATTTATGCACAGTTAGTGCAACTTGTGGCTCTGATTGATCACAGGGATTTTTAAAAGGCCCACCATCACCTTCCCTGGTGGAATCTATGGAGGACTAGTCCTCAGATGTGGAATCTCTCCCTTCTTTAGAAGATAAGATTTTGCCAGCTGAACATGTCATCAGCTGTTTCACCTAAACAAAAGAAAACTGTGTCCTTTCTAATTGAGGCAGTCCATTTACCTTCTAAAATTGGAGGATTTCACCATTCCTCTCTCTAATGCGGTATCTAGGCTTGGTTATCAGACTTATTTGCTCCACCAAGATGTTTCTTTATCATCCCCTAGTTGATTATTTTATCTAAAGAGACTGGAAACACTCAGACAAACAATCCCCTTCCTTAAGGTGTATTTCCACTTCTGCATCCAAATTGGGCCAACTGTTATGTTAAATATTTGTTACATGTCTCCATTCACATAGCATAACTTAAAAAAAAATTAAGATTGCAGCATACCTTTTTTAGATGGTCTATTCTGGACCCTTCAGCAATAATAAAAAAAAAAAAAAATCTAAAAAGTTGTCTTTGAGGGGGCAGGACAGCTTTGTTTTCCATAATTAACCTTGACTGTACTGTGCAGGTATATCTTTATTATCAGTTGTAACTATATTTGGACATTGTCACAACAAAGGATTAAAGGTGTCTATGGATGGGTTTCATGCATTGTATGTAATTGAGGACAGACTTGAGACAGAATCACTCAAAAAACATTGCAGTCAGCCATGACACCTCCTCCTGAGAAAAATCCTAAAAGGTAAAAAATATTTCAATTTAAAAAAAAATTAGGCATGCAGTGTATATGGGAAGATACAACAAACATATAGTTTTTTTTTTTTTTTCAAATTTGGCTGCAAAAGTAGAAATATGGTTTAACCAGTTCCTGGCACCCTATTCCTTTTATGAAGGATTCTGTAAAGAAATGGTCTACATTACCCTTGGTTGATCTGCCCTTAAATCCATGCACACTTCTGCACTCCTCTCTCAAACTTTCCCTGACTGATCATAATCCCTAAACAGGGATTTGGTGGTTGCTGCTGGTAATGCTTAGTTTATGGATTGCAAATCACGGTCATGACAAAATGATTGTCATTTCTGTGCAGCACAGTCCTGGCTCCTAGCTGAGTTAATCTTGGATAACCCTCTCTCCTGTTTAGATCCTTTTGGCAATTTGGATTAAGTATTGATTGTTAAAGCAAATGTGTAAGAAATTATTGGTATGCCTACCCTTTGTGGGAGATCATCATTTCAGCTCTTCTCTGAACAAAATAATTTTAAATGTTAGGGAGGTAAGAGTAATCACTGCCTCTTTTATCTTGAATTAAACATTCATTTCTTGTTCAAATATTTTATCGCAGAAATTAGAAGTTACAACTTCAGTTCAATACAGGTTTAAACGAATGATGTGAACAGGAAACAAAAGGCAACTGGGTCTTGCGTAGATGACCGGTAACTTGAGAGTGTGTATAAGATCCATTGATATGGACTATACATTTAACAGGAGTAGAGCTTTATTAATATCTATACAAATAATGCACAGGAGTAAATTAACAGTAAATAAAACATGGTAGAAGGTAGAGTGGGTTAGAGGGTGATTGGTGGACATCACAATAAAGGGAGTTTTTATCGGTTATACATTAGGCGCTTGTAGAAGAGGTGGCTCAGAGAAGCAGATAAATGCTCCCGTGTAAAGGGGGAAAAATAAAGAAATTCCAAGTAGATTGCTCCTATATAGATAGTGTAGCAAAACCCACTAGAGAATAACACCTTCAAAACAGAGAGAAGGTGAGCTGAAGGAAAACATAAATAGAATAAGGAGATAAAGTAATAGAGAGAAAGGAAAGAGGGAGGGGGTGTTCCCTGGGTACCACTGGAGAAGATGGAGTCGACATATATTGCAAGTAGGACTGGCTAGATTCATCATTTAGGGAAGCATTAAAGATTCATCAAAGTTCGGTGGGAGAAAATTTGTCATTCATGGTATCCAGAGTGCTTCGAATTTGGCTACACTGTCCAGAATGGTTGCTTCTATTTTCGTATGTATCATTGCTTATGTTACTCTGTTTGATTGCCAAGATGCAAAGGTTTGGGGTCTGCCAAACCTTTGCCAGGGTTTTTTTAGCCGCGGTGGTGACCTGCAGGAGGAGTTTGAATTGGCGTTGGAATAGCTCTTGAGGTTTTTGGTTTAGCAGGGCCACAGCTGGGTTCGGGGAGAGGGATATGCTGAAGAGAATAGATAATTGCTGAAGATTTCATCCCAAAATGCTTGATCGATCAGGCA